GTGCGTGTCCTTGATTGTGCAAGTTTTTGTCTGTGTGTGCATGTGTGTATGTGTATGTATGTTTAAGTGTGTGCGCGTGTGCGCGTGTGCGAGTAAGTCCGTAAGTTCTCTATGTGTGCATTTGTGCGTGTGCCTGCGTCTGCACTCACTTGAGTACAGACAGATAACAATTCCAGCCTGACCTTCATATCATTTATAATAAGCTAAACACAGAAATACATGGGTATACAACAAACCAATTGCCAATCAACATATAAATAGACACGTATTATGTTCCTGAAAAGTGAAAAAAACGTGAACAAGAACCGATGGGCTGGTGAACGAGGGTCAAAATGGTGAAGCAAGTTAAAGAGAATTATAAGAAAAAAACGAGGAAGATTTCAAGTCTCCATGAGCACCCACAACAAATTATTATTTATTACGACATGCGGGTGTATTTTACGTCCATATCTAAACAATTTAGATCATTTAGGAGGCGGGACTTCGACCCTACCTTCTGTCATGGCCAACCCGTGCTGAGACAGATACAACGTACTAGCAGAAAGACCGAGATACTCGATAAACGTTTTTTTACCAACCCGAGAATCGAACTCGAGTCTCCTGCATATGACAGCAGAGTGCTTAACCACAGACTTCATGGCCAAAAAGAAGAATAAATATTTTTAAGAGAAATAATATGAAACTCAACGCTGTTCAGAGCATTAGGAACAAAACATAAATAATATTTTGAAGCCAGTCAATGAAATGATTTAACAATATTATACCCCCCTTCCCCCTCCCCCCGAAAAAACACACTCTTAAATAAGGAGAACAAATCAAAAGACGACAATAGCGAACAGTGTGGTACAACTCTGGACCTGTGTGGATTCACACTTCATGGTTCAAGTACGAAACTTGGGACACTGCAGAGTTATTCTTTAAAATACAAAACGCTAAAAGAAATCGCATAAATTATTTTAATATTATTATTATTACTATTTTTATTGCTATATAAAACAAATTAAAAAGGAGCAATTAGAAAATATTGTAAAATTTATGTTATCACAAATGAAATACACCCCACACACACACGCAAACACGCATGCACATGCACACACACACACACACACACACACACACACACACACACACACACACAAACACAAATAGACACACACACGCACTCATTCATACCAATCATGCCAGCTTTCTTTAAGATACGATTGTAACACCCTGAGACAGAAAGAATATTATCTCTCTTAAATTGGTACTGAATTTGCGAACAAGCCAAGAATTGCTGAACACGTGAAGCCAATGTACTGCGGAGCAAGATACAGATAGAGTTAATAAGCGTATGGATTAATTATGGATTATCACAAGGCTGCCCCTTCACCAAGCAGTCTCTAGCATAATAAGTAATCCAGCTGATAAAGATACAGAAATAAAACGAGCAAAAGAGAGAAAGATACATTGTTAGACTGATATGTAGACAGGCAGACAGGCAGACAGACAGAGAAATGGGGAGGTAGGGCAGAAGGAATCGGTAAAGGAGGAAAGAGGGGCGGGGGAGAAAGGCAAAGAGAATCAGTAAAGTGAGAAGGGACGGGAGTGGGGGAGGGAGGGAGAGAGAGAGAGAGAGAGAGA